GATAAGCTGTCAGGGGTCTACAGCATACCGATTATAGATCGCAGATGTGATAAAAACCTTCTGTATGTGGGCTCCACCAAGCGATCCTTAGAGGTTAGACTCAAAGAACACGCTGCTGATATTCAGAAACAAAGGAACACGACGGCCCTAGCAGTATATGCCTCCGATCCAGATATAGACCCCGAATTTAAGAAAGCAAGAATTATCCGCACCGCACGGCACGTACACCATATCAGATGGCTAGAGGCGGCCAGCATATACTTAGCTAACCTTAAGGATAATCAATGCATCAATTATAAAGAAGAGATTACGTTATCAACAGCGTGGCTAGCGTTTATAAATGGTAATTTATGATAGCCCGTTTTGGAGTCAACTGCGCATGACATACGACGACGGAAACGGAAAACGTGCATTCGAACTTACATATTTCGAATTTAAAGTTTTTACGAGCTGCATTTTCCATCAGAGATTCGAAAAAACCTGAAGAAGAACCGGTATAAGGGTTCGAAAATGTTAGTTTTGGTTCGTTTTGGATCGTTAAGAGTTAGTAGACGCACCGGTAGCAGGTTAGAAAGAGATAATTTTATTACTATTCTCTGGTGTTGTGGTAAAGATGAGTATTTCAGTAAATTATTGATTATAATTATACAAATAACAATATTACTACACCGGAGTAAAACAATGTACCAGTGAGCCTGTTACCAGTGTGCCTCTTACTAAAACAACCGTTACAAACGTTTTCACTCACAGGTTCTTCTTCAGATAACAACATATAACTTCTGAACAAATGTGATTCAAATTAGATTAAATTGGAACACCAGTTGAAACTAAATCGCATGGATGTCAATAATGTCGCTCAGGCATGCACCATATTATCTGTAGTAGTTTAACCTAAGTTCTTGTCTAAGAGCACTTGCCAGGCCTTAGATAGTGATTTCATCTTTATGGTTAATGCAATTACCATCCTTGAGTGTAGCCATGCAGATGTAAATAGCTTCTAGCCATCTAAGATGGTGTACATGTTGAGTAGTGTGGACGACCCTTGCTTGATTGAACATTGGTTCTACTTCTGGGTCAGAGGCGTAGGTGACAATAGTGGTGGTGGTCCTCTAATGCCAAATATCTGCTGTGTGCTCTTTGATCCTCACTTCTAGGGAGTACTTGGTGGATCCTACGTAGACTAGACTTCTATTGCATCTATGGTCTATGATAGGGATGGTATACACCCCAGGGAGTTTTTCTTTGTTGGAATTGTCTTTTTCATTCTGCAAAATGTCAAATATTGTAGCATTACCCATCTGTTAGACTCCCACCTATATTTTGCACCATCAGAGATGTGCTTTTAAATGTCATAAATGACAGCACTATGCACCAGCAAATACTGGAATTGGCACATCTCTTGTGTTATAATTCCTTGTTCCAGTTCAAAGGTGGTACTTGCGCCCAAGGAAGGGGTGTCCCGATGGGTAGCTCCATTGCAGGAGACCTGTGTGAGTTGGTAGTCAATTGATTGGAATATAGAATCATCCCGGAGCATTTACCCAACATCATACTACATAAACGATATATCGACAATATTCTCATCTTATGGAAGGTAAAGCCAGACATATCAGCATTTGTCAGTTCATTCAATGACAACCCCTACGGATTGACCCTCGAGATAGACCAGGCTCATGAGTCCGAGGCCCATTTCTTTGACATCAACATCAAGTTCGAGCAAACTACAATCCACACAGAAGTATACTGTAAACCAGGGTCGGAACATCTCTACATACCAGTAGGGTCATGTGACCCTCCCCATTATAAGCTGGCAGCCTTTAATGCCTTAATTAGAAAGGCCCATACGCACTCATCATCACAGATAGCTCTCTGGACCGAGCTAAGATGTATTGAGCATATAACCAAGGAACAAGGTTACAGTACAATCACACACAAATTGATCCTCAGATGGCACCACTGCCAAGAATTATACCCTACCCAAGTATCGGATAAGGTTCCGCCTATTATCATCTGTTACATATAACCCTATACACCAGGATAGCTAAGAAAAAGAATATTCGCACCACATACTGATGATGTGCTATAATGTTTGACATTTTGCAGAACAGAAAAGACAACCTCAACAAAGAAAAACTCCCTGGGGTGTACACCATCCCTATCATGGACCATAGATGCAATAGAAGTCTGGTCTACGTAGGTCAAAGAGTACACAGCAGATATTTGGTAACATACTCACTGGTACGTTATTTTAATTATAATTATAGATAAGGCTCACCTTAGGTGGTCTTTGAATTCCCAAGTGTCGTTTAGGAATAATTTTTACTTTCCACCTAAAAAGAATAAAATATTGAGAAGACAATCAAGTAAATAAATTAATATAATAAGAAAGATAGATAGATATATATGCATTTATTGTTTGCTGCTAATAACAAAAAATAAATACAATCATAATATATAAATATAAATAACAAAACTCAAAAAGTTTTTATACATAACTAAAATTATGCATAAGATCAATTATTTAATAGATGTTTTTTTATTTATAAACAGTATTAAATCTGCAAATATTTTAAATAATTTCTACTTGCATATTACATTCTTCATGAAACAGAAAAATAGTTAAAATGTTTTCAAACTATTTTCAATGATAAAATGTTATTAAACTATCAATTAAATTAGTTTTTAGAAATTAAATTCCAAATTAAAAAAAAAATATCTTCAAAATCAAATTTATATCTAGCCTACATTCTAATGATTCTAATTTTTTTTATTTATATCAAATTACAGAATAAAACTTTTTCAAAATCATGTTAGATATGTGTAATAAGATTTATTTATTATTTTGAATTATAAGATTATATTATTTTAAAATCATACCATATATTATGATTACACTGTAAATCTATTCAATTTTAACATTCCAGTAGGGCTGTGGAGTCGCGTAAAAATCTACTGACTGACCAGAGGCGGACTTGTTACCAAAAGAGACCCAGAAATTCTGATGTCATCATGTGACCTCAGAATAAAAGATTCAATAAACAGAATTCTAATAAAGATAGAACATAGAAACTTTTTATTCCAAAGCTAAAAGACTCCTCTAAGTAATGACACAATCAATGTATAAATATGTATTTGATAATTTTTACTTTTCTGGCTGTTATATATAACAGAGGAAAAGTGTAGCGTTTGGTCAAAAAATGACCCCTCCCAAATTTTTACATTTTTGGACTCGGGACACCTCAAAATTTCGAGATATGCAAAAGATTCAAGGTTTTTTCTATATGTGTATATGTNTTATACACCAGGATAGCTAAGAAAAAGAATATTCGCACCACATACTGAAGATGTGCTATAATGTTTGACATTTTGCAGAACAGAAAAGACAACCTCAACAAAGAAAAACTTCCTGGGGTGTACACCATCCCTATCATGGACCATAGATGCAATAGAAGTCTGGTCTACGTAGGTCAAAGAGTACACAGCAGATATTTGGTAACATACTCACTGGTACGTTATTTTAATTATAATTATAGATAAGGCTCACCTTAGGTGGTCTTTGAATTCCCAAGTGTCGTTTAGGAATAATTTTTACTTTCCACCTAAAAAGAATAAAATATTGAGAAGACAATCAAGTAAATAAATTAATATAATAAGAAAGATAGATAGATATATATGCATTTATTGTTTGCTGCTAATAACAAAAAATAAATACAATCATAATATATAAATATAAATAACAAAACTCAAAAAGTTTTTATACATAACTAAAATTATGCATAAGATCAATTATTTAATAGATGTTTTTTTATTTATAAACAGTATTAAATCTGCAAATATTTTAAATAATTTCTACTTGCATATTACATTCTTCATGAAACAGAAAAATAGTTAAAATGTTTTCAAACTATTTTCAATGATAAAATGTTATTAAACTATCAATTAAATTAGTTTTTAGAAATTAAATTCCAAATTAAAAAAAAAATATCTTCAAAATCAAATTTATATCTAGCCTACATTCTAATGATTCTAATTTTTTTTATTTATATCAAATTACAGAATAAAACTTTTTCAAAATCATGTTAGATATGTGTAATAAGATTTATTTATTATTTTGAATTATAAGATTATATTATTTTAAAATCATACCATATATTATGATTACACTGTAAATCTATTCAATTTTAACATTCCAGTAGGGCTGTGGAGTCGCGTAAAAATCTACTGACTGACCAGAGGCGGACTTGTTACCAAAAGAGACCCAGAAATTCTGATGTCATCATGTGACCTCAGAATAAAAGATTCAATAAACAGAATTCTAATAAAGATAGAACATAGAAACTTTTTATTCCAAAGCTAAAAGACTCCTCTAAGTAATGACACAATCAATGTATAAATATGTATTTGATAATTTTTACTTTTCTGGCTGTTATATATAACAGAGGAAAAGTGTAGCGTTTGGTCAAAAAATGACCCCTCCCAAATTTTTACATTTTTGGACTCGGGACACCTCAAAATTTCGAGATATGCAAAAGATTCAAGGTTTTTTCTATGTGTGGATGTTAGACAGTGTGTGGGGGGCATGATTTTGTTCACTCTGTTTGAAGCCTAATAATTTTTGTGGTTAGAGTGGTCAGAATCGGAGTCGGATGGTTTAACACAGGAGTTAGTTATTTAAGTCAAAGTGGTTGAACTAAATCATGTCCCCATATACATTCTAACATCTTAAACGAGAACATTTTAATGGGTTTCACTGCACTATTATGAAAAGACAAAAAGCTTACTTNGTCAAAGTGGTTGAACTAAATCATGTCCCCATATACATTCTAACATCTTAAACGAGAACATTTTAATGGGTTTCACTGCACTATTATGAAAAGACAAAAAGCTTACTTTGAGGGTAGGGACGAGTTTTATTTTATTTTTTTTTAATTTTGAATGCTAATAATGAGTAAAATATTCATTAAGAGATATGACACATGACCCCTTTTATGTTTTCACCCTGTCAACTTTTAATTAAGAACCAAAATTTAATAGTATTAATGCCCCTTTATACACAAGCTACAGTGCCACATTTCGTTTCTTAAACTTTACCCATTCTGAGATATTGTTTAATATTTCAGAACAGAAATAAAGAAATGAAATAAATTAGACACCAACACACACATGCACATGAATTTTTCCCCTTTTATTGACTTTTTGGGGTTCGGAAGATTTGCAAAAAATCTTGGAGGGTCAAATTTGACACTATTCCAATACTTTTCCGTTTTATATACATATAAAGTTGGAAAGTAAAAAGGTGTCAGAGTCGGCGGATATTTTGACGACTCTGACTAAAACTCCACAACTCCGACTCTGACTCCACGGCCCTGCATTCCAGACAACTAACACAGATGTTTACTTTTGCCTTTCTTTATTCTTCCCTTAGTGTGTTTTTACTGATAGTTGCTGAGAGCATATAATTTTATGTTTTAATGTTAGTTTTAAAAGTCAATTTTTAAGTAAAACTTTTTAATTTTTATTTTAAAAAGTATTATAACTGTTTATGTAAACAGCTATTGTAAAATGCAATATGAAAAAGCAAGAAGAAATGCTAGTGTTGTAGTCACTGGTAGTACAGTCCTCAAATAATATAATATCAATCATCATATTTGAATTTTAAAACATTGTGCAATTTTAAAAGTGTGTTAGTTGCACACTATTACAAATTTGAAAGAATAATTTATAATAATCTAATATCAATAAAATTTTTTAACATTTTTAAACCCCTCACAATTACCCTTTTCATCCTCAATTTAGGGGCAGGTGCTAATGAACTAATCTAAAAATGAAAAAAAAGTGCTAAAAAACATGAATAATTCTAATTTAAAAGATAACATTAATATAAACAACCTAAAGCGTGCTCAGCAGAAAATAATAAACAATAACTTAATCAACACCTGATCACTCGCTGAGAGATTTATTCTTAAAAACAAACGTTTTCAATCCAATCAATGGATCATCATCAGGTAAATTAGAACATTTCAAAAAATAGAACAACAAGTTCAAAATACATTAACATTAATCATTTATGAATTTTTATTTAAATAATAATTTTAGTTGTCATAAATTAAAAGTTCAGATCAAGTTTTCTCACGGGTTATTTATTATTCACTTAATAAATTCAGAAAATTTATTATGTAACAAATTTAATAAATTTATACTTTTATAATTGTTTATAGGAAATATTAACAAATAAATTTCAAATTGCTTTTTTCTCATTTTTGAAGTCACATAATTTTTATGGTTGCATATTAATAAGAGAATAAATTATTAAACTTTAATCTATACTCAGATTCTTTGAATATTGTATATCAAACACACCTTATTACTGAGATACTTTGTTAAAAAATAGTAATTATTTATTAACTTATAATGATTTAATAATAAGTTATTAACTGTTTTACATTGGTATGGTAGCCTACATAGAAAGGTCGACTTCGCCGGTGGAATTGTTACTGCCTCATAGAGCATGTGAAGGGATAGAAAATTGACAAAGACTCATCTATGTATGTATAGTCAAAACAAAATATATTTTCTATAAATGTCATAATTTGTCCTGGCAATTTTTTATTTTTTAACAAAATGTAATTATTAATTGTATTATGCACCGCTAGAGGATGTTATTAACTGTTTTACATTTTACGGCGAATGGTAGACTATATAGAAAGGTCAACTTTGCCGGTGGAATTGTTATTGCCTCGTACAGCATGTGAAGGGACAGAAAACTGACAAAGACTCATCTATGTATGTATAGTCAAAACGAAATATATTTTCTATAAACTGAGTTACTTTGTTTATTACATTGAACAAACATTTTCAACCCACTCAAGGAGTCATCATCAGGTTATTGATGCAACACAAACCTATATATAACCCAACCCCATATATATTATGGGACCCAATCCATCTTCCACCTGATATCAAAAAAGTTTTAAAAAAGGTCCTAATTATGCTCCTGATAACACCTCGGACTGGCACAATACCATAGTCAAAGTTGAAAGAGGACTCACTGGTCTTGATGAGGTTAGCAAAGATTATTTCTGATGGAAAACAACCCTTAAAAACAGAGGTTACAGGGCCCAGCCATTGGAAATGAAGGGTATCAACCATACCAGAAAATGATTAACTGATAACAATTTAATATTAACAAGGGCGGATAAGAGTAAACATTTGGTATTAATTAATGAAAAAACAAAGATACAATGAAGCGTCAGAGAAATATATAGAAAAAACTGAATGTGTAAGGGTTGATCACAATATGATTGATAAGGTAGACAGAAAAGTCAAAAAGTTGAAGAATTTGCCCATTACCTCGCTCTTCCCTTTTCTAAAAGGATCACATATCACAGGCCCAAGTATATCCAGATTATTTGGCTTTGCAAAAACACATAAAAACAGCAAAGAGATTAGACCAGTAGTTGAGAAATGTAAAAGGTCAATGTATAAGCTAGAGAAACATCTGCATAAATTTTTATCGGAGCAAATTGGAGATCGTCATTTTATTACGAAAAACTCATATAACTTAATAAGTGAACTCCAGGCGTTATCTTTAATGGACAAGGAAGTTGGATTGGTCATGGACTTTGAAAGTATGTATCCATCCATAAAATTAGATTCGTGTTATGGCGCACTAATTGACACCTTGCGCAGTTTGAACCCCCCATGTGTCGGCCTATCGTAGAGACATAAAGATGCTGGCAAACCTCATATGTTTTCAATCATTCTTCAGTTTTGAAGGTAGAGTTTATAAGCAAATGAAAGGGGTTCCAATGGGCAGCCTGATGGCTGACTTACTCTGTGAGTTAGTTTTACGCAGAATAGAACATAACACGATTACGAATTTTAAGGAAGACATAATCCTATACAAAAGGTATGTAGATGATGTGTTTATTTTAAGGAGGAATGATACAAGAGTGCACCATTTTTTGGATGAAATAAATTCCCAACAATGAGGGTTTGGAGCTTAAATTGGAGAAGATTAGTAACAAGGAGATACATTTTTTTAGACGTTGTACTGCATTGATGAAGTGCGTAGTTACTGGAAATGACCTTCTTGACAGACGAAGTCGTCCGAGGCGACCGCAGAAGAAATCCCCTCTCCCCAGGAGACTACTCTATTACAATATTCTACTAATTGGCTAGACTGCAGACACCAACATTTGTTCCTGCGTGGAGAGTGGACAAAAGGTCAACTGTACGGTACTAGGGTCAACTGTACGGTGAGAAACATTACCAAAAATGGTCAGTCATCTCCCCAGGTGATGACATGTTTAGTGCACTGGCCAGACATCTCTTGACCAATAAGTGTTGAATTTGCCAGAAGGTGTCAATAGTGTCATCACCCATGATGGGGGAGACTGTCATAAATCGGGAGAACTGACATATTGCGTCAACGGAGTCCCCAAGATTTCCCACGCTAAAAAGGTATAAAAGGGGAACAATCTGAGGACTCGGGGCGATCATCGGGGAAGAAGCCTACTAGTGCCTACTCTACTCTGGGAGGACCTCGAGGTTTCTGATCACCGATCTAAAGGAGGTAAAGACTTACATTATTTTTTCTTCCCTCTCTCTCTCGATATATTCGGGACTTAGAAATTATTCGTCTCTCAACATGCTCGAGACTTAGAAAATAGTCTCTCTAGATGTACACGGGATTTAGAATTTTTGGATCGAGGACCATCGGCGGTCCCACTAACGGGATAGATGGACGTTGGTTGTCCGATATTGTCACGGCACGGAAATATTATCATTACTATTTACTTATTTTTGTTTAACTCTAATGTATTCTCATGTATTTGTATTATTTGTTTTATAATTAAATGTGTTATTCTTAAATTTAATGACTATCTTTGTATACTGCCAACACCTCATTGTGACTTCATTACGCTTCCCACTCCTTTTTGCCCTCCTATAGCCATTCTCTGACAGCCAAGCCGGTAAGTGGGGAGAAGCTATCCGCTTCAGCCCCCTTGGTTGCGCACAGATTCGATAAGAACAATTATAAACAAACTATTGTGAAGGTTCATGTAGCATCAATAACCTGATGATGACCGCTTGAGTGGGTTGAAAACGTTTGTTCAACATAATAAACAAAGTCTCTCAGTAATAAGGTGTCTTTGATATACAAGATTCAAAGAATCTGAGTGTAGTTTGAAGTTATTATAAAATTTCTACATGTTGTTATTCAAATTCCTTAGTGATTTGATAAGAACAATTGTAAACAAACTAATGTAAAGGTTTGTATAGCATCAATAACCTGATGATGACCCATTGAGTGAGTTGAAAACGTTTGTTCAACGTAATAAACAAAGTCTCTCAGTAATAAGGTGTCTTTGATATACAAGAATAAATTATTTTTATATAATAAAATATGAACATTTTAAACTTTTAACAGAGATTCTAAAACTATATTTCTAATTTAAAATTTTAGCTTGCAAAAATCAATCTTATAAAGATTGAAAACAATTCTGTGAGAACCCAGGCTAAGTGTAAATTTGATGATTTCAATCTCATTTTTTTGTTCCAAAAAAAGGGGAGAATTATTTCATTTCACAAATGCAGTAAAGGAACTTTGTAAGATTTTCCCACCAATAACACTTCCTCTGTGGGTGATGCAGCTGCCAAAAAACTACTCATTGAGGGAAATGGAAAAAAGAGTGGATTGGAACAACCACCAACTTTACCAAATATGGGTATTAGAGTGGCAGGAGGAAGACCCCAAATAAAAAGCAAGAGAATGGATAATCACACAGAGTTCGCCTGCCTAATTTTTGTGTTAACCTTTTTGCTGTCCTCGACCGCCGCTCTTCCCAAATGCCTGTCAAATTTTTCCACTGGACTTTCACTGCTCCCCTTGATGAACAAGTACCTGAATATTACTGATGAATCAAAAGCCATCTGGAAGAAGCCTTCCCTTCTCGAGAAGTTAACAATCATCACCAATAACCATCCAGGTATTTATCAACTCATGTACAAAATTGTAAACACTCTCTCTCTCTCAGTTTAGTGTGCTTTTAGCATTAGACTCTTCCACTACTTCTATTACTCTGTAAAATTTTTATAAACTTCAACAAATAAATTGTTGTTATTTAACATTTAAATGTGTCATAGAGTGCATTATTCCTGGCGCACTGTTTCTAAACTCCCTCCTCTATCCCGAACCCGTTCATTCCCTCACACGACTGCTTGCATGAGACTTATACATTTACTGAAGTAATGGTCACAATTCATTAAAAAGAATGCTCAATTAAAAACTGCTAAATGGATTAGTAAATATTTTCTGTAACCTAATCATTTTTAATAACATCTTTGTATATGATTTTTCTTGTTGTACATAAGTAATGTTTTAAACAGATACCCACAGGTATAGGTAATTGGATATCTGAGTAATAGTTGTGTACCTAATATCTTGGTATACCTAAGTATTTGATATTTTCAGCACAAATTATATTGTAAAAAATTTAACTTAATGTTGGTTGAATAAGCATATTGCTTGTTTCAGAATGTTTCAATCAATCATTAATTTTGACACATCAAATAATACTTTTATGTTCCAAACTTGTATTAAGTTTAGAACATACATTAACCAACTATATATTTATTCACATATTATTTGTTATAAAAAAATTCTACATATAATTCTACAAAATATGATTTTTTTAATACAAAAATAACCTATATATAGGTTACTTTTGTATTAATATATATATATTCTAGAATTAAGTACTGAAAAGGTTGTTTTCAAATTCTGTCAAAAATCTATAGATTTATTTAAACTTTCTTAAAAACTTTCTGTTAACATGTATTCATTTCATCAAAAGTGCATTTATTGAATTCTAAACACTATTCAATTTTCATTTAAAAAATTATTTTAATGAGCATAAAACTTAATTTATTCAAATCAAATATATATTAAATTTTCTTACCTATCAAGATTCACAGTATCAGCATTATCTATCTGATTCAAAATTTTTTTAACATCAATAACACCGGAAGATCCAGAACCCCAACCTAATACTCTAGCTAAATCATTACCAGTTCCAAGTGGCACAATGCAAATATGAGGCAAAGGCTGTCAAAAGAAATCATAATAAATTTTTATATATAGGGTGTTTCAAAATTCCTGCTACAAACCATTAGAGCAGATTTCTTAAGAAAAACTAAGATAAAAATGTTCAGTAACATTTTTTGAATAAAGCATTTATTACAAAGTTATAGATGTTTAAACATCTATAACTCCATAAAGTCCAATGATATCACTTCCAGAATTTGATGGATCTGAAAAGATTTAAAAATTATGCATATATTTGTTTATTGTAATCTATTATTTTCATTAAAACAAATACCTTTAAGTGAATATGGTAAATTTTTATTTTTTAAGTAAATTATTACCTCCATGCAGAATATAGTAATAATTAGGGTCTCAGCACAAGAAATTCAACACACCCCGGGTATTTTTGAGCAGGTGTAACAAAACATGCTTTGCAGTCACATTGTTTGCATAGATATTGAAGGTCATCATATTGAGCAGCTCTTGTAGTGGATCAGTATGCAAAGAGAAACAAATGCTTAAGTAGTATTATACATTCTTATAATAAGAACATTGCTTTTAAATACATCAAAATAAAATAAAAAATTTTAAATTGAATCTACTTTTCTTTTTCTTAAAACCTTTCAACTTAAAAAATAAAACACAAATTTGTCCTCATCTGTATAAAAACCTGGAAGTGACATCACTGAATTTTAAACATCTAAAACTCCTTAATAAAGACTTTATTTGAAAAATGTTACTGAACATTTTTATCTTAGTTTTTCTTAAGAAGCCTGTCCTATAAGTTTGTGACAAGAATTTCAAAACACCCTGTACAAAATGATATTAAATTATTGAATTTAATGTAATACATAACTTACATTTTTATTATTTAAAGGAATATTAAATATCTTGTTTAATAATGCACTCATCGACCAAAAAAGTTACACATTAATAGACCATCAAAATACACCTTAAGTTGCTGAGATAATTTATTTGAAGCTAAACTAACATTTTCAGCCTATTCAATAGGCCACACTCAGGTTACACACTAAGGGGAAGACATTGGAATTCAATGGAACTTTATTAATGCAAACATAATGACATATAAGGGACCAATCCTACAGATTGATTAACTGTCACATGAGGTAACTCTCTAGACCAGGATGCCAGCAATGGGAGCAATATGCTACCCAATAGTAAAGGCAAGATTGAAGTGCTCACCAGCAATCATCTACATTCTAACACAATGGTCGTCTGTTCCCACAAAGAATTGAAATTTGTTGCTAAAGATGATATACTGACAGTAAGTAACAGTTCATGCTTCTCTATCATGGCACCACTGCAAACAAAATCAAAAATATTGGAGTGCTAATGGCAGAACATACAGCAATCACTATGTATGCAAAGCTGTCTCTGCTTGTCACTTGCCAATGGTAAAGAAAAAGACAGTTCTGTAGCAAGACTTCCATCTATCTCTGGATAGTGGACAAAGATGTTGTTTCAGCTATTCATACTTGTCTCACAATTAGATAATCATCTATCCTAATGGTATGTCTGGAGATTCCAGAACCTTCCTGCTATATGTGCCCTCGTGTATCTACTGTATCACCTCCAACACCTCCTCACAATCAGGTCAGAACAGTCCAGAAAAGGATCAGTTTGACAAAACAACTATCCTGTTTCCATCAGACTGAAGATGCAGTCTTTTTCAAACTCTGTCAGTGTACGTAATGTCTTTGTCTGTGTCATAAAGACACGCCTGATGTTTGAAGACTTCCAAACAACAGGTACTCAAAAATTCTGAATATAGTGAGTCACCAAGAGCTTTTCTATAGTATATTGGTGTAGCAATTTTAAGGCACTTTTGTGGCATTATCTGATATGCAATCAGATCACAACCATAAACATTTACATATTTCTGAGACATAACTGTTTTCATTTAAATTGTTTAGCTGTTAAATATGTAAATGGGATAAGTTATTTCAAGCACTTTCATTTCATTTCATTTCATTTCTTAATATATTAATAAGTATGTTTAAGGCATCAGCATACCAATCTGGGGAGCTAGAGATTGAATACCAGAAAGAGTGAAAAACCCCAAGAATTTTTCAGGGATGGTCTGCCCCAGATATGTCAGGGTTTCCCTCTCTCATCACTTGGCTGCCCTATTGTGGGTCTGGCTGAACCCAAAATGGGCCTGGAAAAAAAAGGATCTCTTAGTATCTACAGGGCAGAAAGTTTAAAAAATATATTGTAATAGCTTTTGCGAATTAGAGCTACACTGAAAAAACGAAAACGTCTAAATCTGTTTGAGTCAACATTATTTGTCAAATAATATAAAAATCAACTTTAAGACTGCAGTTTTATAACTTTTATAATCTCATCAGAACAAATAATTAATTCTAAATACTGTGGCATACTTATGGGGTTGTGTGGGTGTTGGATCCCAAGAGGCTTTATAAATAAAATTTAAACTAAAAAAAATTTGTTTTAAACAGCAAATCTAAAATTACATTTTATTAATGAATAATTCAATATCAATCAATTATTTCATTTCTTATTATAATAAAAAAATGAATGCTCAGTTATCAATTGCTTACTTATACTAAATGATTGTAGATTGTTCTAGATGAAAGATCATAGTCTAGATATTGAGATTGTTCTCAAAGTTTCCTTTTTCCTTCTAGATTTATTAGGAATATTATAGACCATATGTCTGGTGGTATATAAAGGATGCTCAATTGTTAGCAGTGGGGGAGGTGGCGCTGACTGTCGAGACTGCTGGCGTGTTTTTTGATGAAGTTTGTTAAAGACTCTTTCAATCTATTATTTGTACGTAAATACTGTGAATTCTGTAAGTGTCTTAATGTGAAAAATTACTAATTATTTAGTGTTAAAATTAATTATTTGCCTTTTAATAATGGCGGGAATAGAACCTAATCCAGGTCCTTTCCCCTGTTCTCCTCAAGAAGTAAGCCATTTCAATATGCAAATGAGGGGGTGAGGTTGGCCTCATAAAGATAGTGCTAAAGAACTAAATGCAGAATACCCAGAGGAAGAATTATTGTGTGGGGAATTTTTGCAGTTGGAGGAGGAATCTACTGGATATAACTTAGGAGCTTTGAAACCTTTGAAAATCTCAGAATACTTTGAACCTTCATCTCTTAAGGAACCTCAGGTAGAATCACACTCACAATATTCCTTAAAATCAATTTATGAATTGATACAAAACAATTTCTCTCAGTTAAGTCACGATATTCAAGGCATTAAGAATGAAATACATATGAACTACAACATATGAAAGAAGAGAATAAAAGATATCAGGAAGAAATACAGAATTTAATTCAAGAAATGAAAAACTAGATGCACTAGTTAAGCACAATAGCCATCTAAAAGGTACATTAGAATTTGAACTAGGTAAGTTGATTAATGAAAAAATAAAAAACAATATTATCATTATAAATTTCCCTTTCTCTAACATGGATTATATAAATGAAATTGATCAATTTATTAAAGAGATATTAGAAATAGAAAACTGTGTCATAGAAAGGTTAATTAGACTAAATGACAAAAGTTCTAATCCAATGGTCAAAATAACAGTACATTCTAAATATAGTAGAAATCTTATTCTAAACAAATTTTGGAAATCAAGAGCTAATTTTAACAGTGAGAGATATAAGAAGGTGATTTTTACCACTGATATATGTAGAAGATCTAGATTCAGATGGAAAAAATTATTGCCTATAATTAAACAGGAGAAAATAAAAGGAAATAAAATAATCATCAGAGACGATTATTACATTTACGATAAGAAAATATTCACCTATGATATCAATCTAGATTCAGTTATTCAATTAGATAATTTTTTAGGATAAATTTGAATAAATTATTGGAATTAAATAAGATAAATACAGAAAAAGCTTTATTCTATGACAATACTTGTTAAAAAGACTTTTAATAATGAGGATAATATGAATACAAATATTCAGGTCGAGTCTGATAGATCTATTAATTGTTGTTCCTACACCAAGGCAAATACTAATGATAACTGTTGAAACTGGATGATTAAATCTGCAACAGACACTGTTATAACTAACAATAAACTTTAATTTACACAAAAGAAGGAACACTACAACTTCACACACTTGAAGAGAACGAAAAAGGGCGGGAAGAAAAACAAAGAAGTAGAGGGAGCTCACAACAAAACGATCGGTGTTGCCACCTATAGACAGATCATGAAAATGTAGAAAATTTATTTTTCCAACACTTTCCCTCATTGAATGATCTGTTGATGTTGAATACCCATTTTTCTACAAAGTAATTCAAGTCTCNGGTGTTGCCACCTATAGACAGATCATGAAAATGTAGAAAATTTATTTTTCCAACAATAACTTTAATTTACTATTTGGTTTCAGGAATATACAGGGAATACTTCAAAATACTGATAAAAGAAAATATATAAATCAACATTCTGTTGTTGGTTTTACAGAAACCTAGATTATTGAACTATGTGAGGAAGATAAGAAAGATCTTGAACAAGATTATTCAATATTAGTTAGTAAAGCCCTGAGATACAGCAAATTTGGACGTCCTTCTGGCAGTCTCATATTATTGGTGAAGAAAACATTTGGTAAGATGTACTCATATTATATAACTAATGCTTTTCTATTTCTGATAATAGATATTAATCAGAATCTCCAAGTATTGTGGGAAGAGGCACAAATTGGCCTAATACTTGCTTATTTCTCTCCTTCATCAGATAAAAAGGCAAACTTTCAAGAATTACAAAAAACTATCAATCCATGGACCAATATTATAAACTATTGGATATTCGGTGGTGATCTTAACATTCGCATTGGAGAAACTATGGTTCTAAAATATAAAGGCAATAGTGACATTATTAAAAATATAAGACTATCGAAAGATAAATCTGTATCTACAGATGCTTATATGTTGTTAAATTTTACACAAGGAAACGATTTGATTCTACTGAATGGTAGAATCCGCATGAGTTTACCTTCATATCTCACATGGGAAAATCTAGTATAGATTTTATTATACGTTCTCAATCTATGGCAGATCAATGTTTGTCTATCGAAATTCTAGATTTAGATATGTCTGATCATTTTCCTATAAATCTAGTATTAAAAGGGGATAAGGATACAATCAACTTAACGAAACAGTCTGATGCCCCCTCAAAACTTTTGAATAGACTGAGAGTAAAGTTTAATATTCAAAGATTTCTGAGAGAATTGACTTTTAAATCTAATGAACTGTTATCACAAGAAAAGAATAATAATTCATGTAAGAACTATGAATATCTAATGAAATTATTACAATCATTCTTTTTTTAAAAATAGTAAGAATAAAATGACTAACAAATTTAAACAGATTTGGTTTGATAAAAAATGCTATTATTACAAATTTAAAAAACAATAAAGTCTACAGAAATTCCGGAAGACTAATTTGACCTACTGTTTAACACAATATTTGTTAAACAAAAAAATATAGAGAAATATAATTAAAGCCAAGAATCTAATTGCTTATAATTGCTAAATTCTAAAACAATTTAAAATTTTGATGACTGTGATGTATATTCAGCTTCATGTTTATAACAGAAATGTCTTAGAATTATATTTGAAAATATAATATTAGAGAAATGTAAAAATGTAATGTATACCTCAATTTTTAATTTATCAATAATGTTTAAAACCCAAGATATAGTTCCATCTCCTCCAGCAATTAAAATACGACATGTATGATTTGATATTAAATGACACCACTCCAATCCATTTTCAGGTGACACATCATGTATATCAATTACCTGTAATGAATTTTTATATGAAATCATAAGTAACACGCGGTCTTATTATCTTTTATTTATTGGTACACATAAAACAACTTATTCAAAATTAATTTTAAATTACAATTATAATTCAAATTATAATCTATATGAAATATAATAAAAATTATGTAACTTCAGTATTTCAAATTTTGTTTTGTCTTTATGTTTTTATAGCCTTAAATTTATTGTAACTAAATAATGTAAATTGAAAGTGATAAACAAATAGTAAAACTGTAAATTCTCGTATAACAAATATTAAAATACTTTCACTCGGAGTAAGTTATAAAGGAATAAAAGTCATATTAGATTCAATATTTTAAATTGATAGTATACAAACTTTATTTTCTTTGAGTCAGTAGAATTCTTTAATAAAAATTATGTAGAATTAATCTTTGCATTATAAAAATAGTGATTTAATTCTAAATTAATAGTCGAATTTGGTTGAATATGCTTTTATTTTTGGTAAACAGCATTTGCTTACTTCTGTTCAGTAATATTTAGGAATTCAAATACAGTTGACTCATCTTAAGTGAACACCATAAAGCAAATTCTCACATTAAAGTGAACTTTGCAGTTGCCCCAGCAAAATGCCATTGTCACAACATTAATTTTTACATGATAAAGCAAACAAAAGTTTTACCAGAATTCATTAAACCAAACTGTAAATTACCTTCATAACCCCCAAGAAATAACCCTATTTCCAATAATGATTTTATTATTCATATCAAAAAGTGTAAAAAGCAAAGTGGTACTGTAATAAAAGTTCTATTTTGAGTAGAATAATTTTTTTCTCCTAGTAAGCAAAGACAAGTTTGACTTCCAATTGTAGAGTAATTAAAACATCTGGTTTTAGCAGACCATTCTACTGTACTCAAAAACAGGAGTTCCAATTGCAGAAAAGGACATCCAATGCTTTAAATGGATGCAGTTCCATGCAAACACATGCAAGTTTGCATATCAGGAATTACAATATGTAATGCCAGGTGTGGCTATTTTGCACCATATTCAACTCCTTTTTTAACTTTTCCCACAAAAAATATTTTTTACTTTTTCAAACAATTTTCAACAGAATAAAATTATGAATTTCTTTTAAAGCTACATCAACTGCTGTATAAAATCAGTCTATATATCGGCAATAATAATTATAAATTACTGATTAATTTGACCATAGAGGGAGGCGTTAGGCACCATCTCATATTAAATTAATCAGTAATTTATAATTATTATCACCGATATATAGCCTGTTGTAATAAGGCAGTTGATGTAGCTTTATTGTTATGTATAGGATTTCATAAGACGTTTATATTTGAATTTCTTTTAGCTTTGTTTTTTTAACCACTCTGATAACTGCTCCACACTTTAATGATGAATACCATCTTCTCCATTATTTTTTATTTGAAAAATCATTTAGAATTTGTTTTTGTTAATAAATTTATTTTTATTTAACTTTATTTAGTAAATTACTTCTAAATACTGTATTATATTTTAAGAAATTTTGATTGCCTGTTAAGCCTTAATTATACAACCTTGATCTTGACCCTGAAAAAACATTAATATGAATTTGCAATAAAGCAAACTAACTACTGTTTTCCTAGCAATTCATATTAGCACAAACTGACTATATTAATACTTATTACAATGCTTTTACAATAACTAAACTAAAATGTTCGAAACTTACCTGAGCAGGATTAAGAACTGATCGGAAAGCATTTAAAATGTAACTTCCTTCATTATTTCCACTTTTACGATTAGCAATTACAATCAATGGATTCCATGGCTTAAATACAGGTGGTCGAACTTCTGAAACTACTAAATGACGTCTTCCTTTAATGCCTACTAATTTCAGACGCACACAAAATGGAGGAACAATAAATGATTTGAAACGACCTAAATCACATATTTCTGACATTTTTTGAAGACAATCAGAATGTACTGTTCTTTGACACCAACAACAACGAAAATCGGCTAAACAATCTTCTGTACCACAATTTGTTTCACAGACATCACAAATACTTCCAGATTTTAAGTTTCCTTATAAAATAACAATGTCAAATATAAAAATATGTTTAACAACTATTTAATATTTTATTTGACATTTATTTGATTTATATTAAATTTAATGATTTATAAAAAGCTTTTTATTTGAAATATGTAGTTTATTGTGTAGATACAGTCAACTATTTGATGGATTTTATAATACATAGTTATAATAATGTATTTAATATATTTGTTTCAATTTATTTAGTAGATAATTTTGAAGGATGTTTTTTTGTTTCCTTCATAAGTGCATATTTAATTCCAATTAAATGTTTTTATTTTGCAACCTAGTATCGCAGGTATTTAAAATAAGACATTCTTTAAAATCCTGTTTACGTACAACATATTTATAAGGTTCAAACTGCCAATGCATGGATGTTTATGTTTCAATAAAAATATAACTACAGTATATACTATTCTTGCACAGGAAAATTTCTTATGCAAAATTAATATGCAGTAAGAATAAAGTATAAATCAATCATTAAAACTGCTTTTTATAATTGGTTTTTTAAGAAATAAAAATAAATTTCATATATTTCTCCAATGCTTCTATCATAAACACAAGAAACTACTGCTTATTACTGTATGTTACTTTCAGGGGTTCAATTTAAAAACACTAATAAAAAAGCATTTGTCATTCTGTTTCAGTAAAACATTTATAGAATGCTTTATTGAAATAGAATACACAACATAAATTAAGACAAATTCATTTGAATATGAATAACTATAGTATCATTTTCAGAAGGTTTTTAAAAAAATTCTCAAAGAAGACTAAAAATACTAAAACATTTACAGGGAATTTTTGTCACACATGCATCTTATGATGCACTCTGATAAAACATTTTATAAACATATAAGAAAAAAATTGTAATGATAATTTTAAAATAAGGAAAGTCTTCAGCTAAAGGTAATTAAATTGAAATTTTTCTATAAATGTATTTCATTTAATGTCAATCTATTTCACAACAAATTTCTTAAATATTGAATTATTATAACTATGACAATACTTTTGTAATTAGATCATTTAAATAACATTTAATTTAATTTATCATTCTTAACTCTATCCTTTTCACTTACCTTTCACCCAATGGTGTTTCATAGAATTTCCAACTCCAGATAAAGATTTGCAATAAACACTTTTATCTGCTTTCTTAAAACATGACTGATCAGCATAAACTCCACATGAATCACAATACCATCCATCAACAATCAGACTTTTGCAAATGCTGCAATATGCTGTCTGGGAAAATATATCAATTACACACCAACTATGCCCTTTGCTAATATCTCTTGCAGGAATTTCATAGTGGCATTGTCTGCGAAAAATCTTCCACAGAAAAACTGTTGTTAACATTATAACACTGGCATAAAAACTCACCTACAAATAATAAAAAAACATAATTATATTAATAATGAATTCTAGCAATGAATATCAAAATATTAATTATAAATTTCAAATAAATTTATATTTTAATAAATGAATTTTAAAATCCATATATAATGATCCCCCACGTTCACAAATAATTGGGATTAGGGTTTCTCATTTCCCGGTTTTTTGCTTGTCCCAGGATTCTGGGATAAAAGTAAACTGTTTCCCAGGATCCTGAGAAATCTCGGGACAGAATAAATTATTTTTAAGATATACAAAATATGAAATCAAATGATATAATTATTTTTCATTTTTTAAAGTAATTTAATAATTCTGCAACCTCCAAAATCATATTAATAATGCTGTGTAAGATATATATTAAAAATTACCTTTGAATTACGTAGAAATTTTCACAAATAGAAAAAATTTATTAAAGTTTGCTGGAAACTGCATACAACAACAACAAAAAAATGAACTTAGATGAAACTTCTAACTTAAAAGTAATTTTCATTTTTTAAATAAAACATAATATTATAACAAGTAAAATGCAAAACCGTATTTGGGACAAGACTGTGTCTCGAAAACGGAATCACTTTGATGCCGGTCTCGTTCTCATTCTCCTATCTTCTTTGATATTGCTGCTTTTGGGTGCAATCGTTCAAACTTCGCCAGTCACAACCACGAGATTGTCCACAATGCATCTTCAATGAAATTAACCTATCTAATTTCAAAATTTTTCTCTGTTGCGTGTCGGCCTGGGTTGAATTTTTGTTGATGCATAACAAAAATTTCCCATTTTTGAAAAAAATAATCGTGGCTATTGTATCGTCCGAAATTATTTTTTTATTTTGCACAAACAATATACAGTTTAACCCGATTATAACGTCATCAAATGTAACGACGACCCTAATATAACATCAAATTTTTATCGGTCCTACAATTTTACTATACTAGATCAGGGGTCAGAATTAGCGGCTCGTGAGCCGCATGCGGCTCTTTGCATAGACATTTGCGGTTCTTCGAACATAAACTCCAATTTCACCTCACCTCATTTTACTGCAGCCTTATAACTTATGAATTTATGAGATAGAGCCGCCAAATAAACTTCGACTCGTACGGCATACTCTCTACCACTATTTAGCCCATCCGCACATGACCACACTCGCATTGATCAATATGAGTCACATGCGAGTGGCAGCATTTGAAGCATATCTATATATACATTACCCATTGAACGCATGTCCGTCCGTGTAACGTTATGCCAAAATCGACCACTAGAGACGCCCCTGTCGTGTGTCGTATTTTGCACATTTAAATTAATAGTATAAATTATTATTATTTATTTGGCCAATAGCCAATAACAATATAAATAATTCAGTATATTTGTAATAGGAATTTATTATTGTCACAGAATGCCTGTAATGTGCACTAGGGGGCATCTCTCTGGTGTGCATTATTTATGTGGCTCTCTGGTACTTTTGTTATACTGTTTCCATGGCAATTTGGCTCTTCTCACTTGACAAACTGCCAACCCCTGTACTAGATAATGTTAAAAAAAACTCACTTGTAACGACATAAAACCGTTTTAACATCATATTTGAAACACTCCCAAATTTACAAAATTAGATTACAAATTTTATTTAACATAGAAGAAACTACGTGTTCAGTCCTAAGGTCAGAGTTCACTTCTTAGAATGACTGTGGGTAGTACTCTCCTCCACTTGACTTCGGTGGGGTGAGGTGCCTGTTTTGCCTGTTTGTAGAAGAGGGTCGCCATTTTGTATTTTATTTTGACTCCTCGGTCTCGTGACTACCTACGAGTCTGGAATTTTTTATGCGTAAATGATTTGGGCACCTAATACTCTGTGCCAAATATCAACTCTCGATATGTACAGTACTCCTTCATACCTCTATGCTGATAAGAATATTGGGCAGTACGATTTTATAAACAAGACATAGTCTTGTCAAAAATTTACAATAATATTTTGTAAGATTTTAAAAAGCAAAGATGGTCACTCCAATGATACTCTGATCAGTCAATCTGATTCTTATTTTAGTAATGAAAAGTCCTGCTACTGAGAATGGCCTTTTGCATTTAATTGATGTTAGTGGAATCGTCTTTAATGCATTTAAGAGGAGACAGATGTTATATGTTTTTTTCACCTGTAGCCTGGAAGATTTCGCGTTCGTTTTCGAGATTGTAGTACTTCTTTTGCTCTCTAGTATTCTTGATTTGTCTACCTCGGCTGCTTTAATAGCGGCATCAAGCTTATAGCCCGATAATTTGGCAATTTGTTTGGCTTTAATAATCAGGTTTATGAAGAAAAACTTCATACTTGCAGACTTCATACTCGTTTGTATCCTTGCCCAATTTGCACAACCTGGCATTATGCAGTTATTGAAGTTACCGGGCATGGTTAAAAATTAAGACAGCATAAGCGCAATTATTTCAGATATTACGGGTTCTGACAAGTAAAGAATTTTCAGAGTCCTACCACAAATAAGCTACGTATTGATTATTGACCATTTGTGACATGCCATAACGAGGAAAAATTAAAAGAACTAATAAGTAGGTTTAAAGTTAATAAATACAAATGTATTCTGACAGTTTATGTGTTAATTATACTTTCTATTTGCAAAATTTCCTCAATCTTAACACAAAATAAGAAAAAAGTGAACTTTTAAGTAATTTGCGGGCTTTCCCGGAATGAGAAGAATTTCCCTAATTGAAAAAACAACCGGGATCTTGGCATCCCGGGATCTCATTTGAGAAACCCTAATTGGAATCAAGGACCCTTCATAAACGTCAAATTCTTGAATGTTGAGTTCTATTTTCAATGTTAAATTTGTAATTTGTTCCAAGACTTTATGTCAATGATGGCCAAATAGTGGCTCACAAGCCATATATGGCTCCCATATACTTATAGAATTTTTGTTTTACTTGATGCATACTACTTACACATATATAATATTTTTGTATGTTTTTTGACTTTTACAATCTCTGTATATATCACTAAAAGAGCATTTTTAATCATATTTATCATGGGTTTGGTCAAGCCCTCAATGGGACAGCCTAGTGACAAGGGATGGTAACAACATATCCAAGACAAACCAACCCCAAAAATTCCTGTGGAGTTGCTCACCCAGATTCAATCCCAGGTCCCTTACAGCAATACACTTCAACTGCCTCAGCCATCTAGCTGTAATAAAACAATTAAAGTGATATATTTCAAGAGACAATAATTATATTTCAAAGACATATTGAAAGCAGATGGAAAATATCAATAGGCTTTCTAAACATTTTCAAAATATTTATGCAGCATTGGGTTTTATATCAGAAATGGTAAAATAAATTACCATAATTTAGGTGAAGGAATGCTGATTAAATGGTAGCAGCATTGCTTTGCCAGTTTTAACCAGTTGCATATCATTATTTAAATTGTGTTTTTAATAATTAAATTGTTTTATTAATTTGCTATTTCTAAAATTAAATAACTGAACATGAAGTTAAGTGTGTTGTGTTTTCAGTGGCAGATTGGTCTAAAGGCAGCAGCATCAAACATTCATTTGCTAAAAGAAACTTTTCTAGTCATTTGAAAAAAATTGTGGACTTTCTTTATATTTTATAGAAAAATTTGTAACAGGTTTGTAGGAAAGTTATAAATAAAAAGAGAGATAAAAAGTTTTCAAAGAAAAATTAAGAGAAAAGAAAAAAATTCAATGACACCATGAAATGTGTCTACAAATGCCTCACACAGATAGAACAGTATGACAGTGCTACAAACAAAATTTTCCAAAATAAGATTACAGAGAATAAAAAATATACAAAAAAAGCAAACCTGAAAAATTATACTTGATTCTCCTGGGGTTGGTAAGAACCACATGATAGAAAATGGTAATTTATGAAATGATTTTCCTAATTTACCTAAACATAAAATGCAAATATTTAATTTTAAAAAATTTATTTTTTATTTATTATAAAAAATATGTATTTAGAAAAACTATATTATAAAAATTATATTACATAATTACAAAAAATTTAAATTACAAGTTATAAAATATGTAATATTTTAATGAGATAAAAAACAAAAAGAAATGCCACTTATTAATAATAAAAGATAAATCTAAGAAACTGTCTATTGGCATTATAGATAAATATGGTTAATTGACAAGTACTTTCGACAGCATATAACCATCATCTTCAGGTAGTATAGCGGATAGAACATTAGAACTGTAGAGACAGAACACATTTTCAAATCGCTCTTTGCACATAAGTATGGAACATAAACATTACAGATATAAAAATACAAAATTATACACTATTAAGAAATAAATATGATATATAATGTAACAGTCTTCTTCTCAGAAATACTGGAGTGAGAAATGAACCGCCACAAATAAAACCTTTTTTAACCAGTAATTGAACTTAAACCAAACTTCCGAACGTTAAAAAAGGTTTTGTTTGTGGCGGTTCATTTGATATATAATGGCAATGGCTAATGAAATTAACAGAATTATAATATACACAGAAATAATTGATAGCAAAACAAACAAAATACAAACATTGGAGCACCATTCACACTGCTATGTTTTTGTCACATAATTCTGCAACCTATGACATTAAAAGTTTAAACAGCACAACCCACAGCTCAGGTTTATTGAGTGTGAGAGAGTTGCATAGTAACATTAATGTAATGTACAAAGATTCCCATATGAACAAGATTCACCTGTTCCCACAGTGTTTCACCAGAAAAACTTGTGACCGAAGAGGGTCAAAATTATACTCCATCACTTTTTTGGTTAGCTCTTGTTGTGCACCTCCTGTCTAGCAGAGCATTATAATATCTTCATAATGCTCTGCTAGACAGATACAGAGCATTCTGGCAATGGCATCTATATATAATAGTTTTGATCCAGTTAGCTGATTTTGTAAATTAATAGCATAAACTCCAGATTTTTCAAAAAGTGTAACCCTGCCTCAATCATTGTAGCCCAAATTGCATAGGATACTTTGCAATATAGGCAACGCAATGATTGAGACAGCATTACACTTTCAGAAAAATATGTTAGTGCAGTTTTGTTACTAGTTTGAACTGTGGAAAATCACAATAATCGATACTAAGACTATTGTGAAAGGGGATGAATTACCATGTGAGAAGGAAGACAAGGGAAAATGGCTTAACAATAAGTTTATGTACAAGTAAAATAAATATATACAAAAATTTACAAATTTGTTCACCAGGTCGCACATACAAAAATCCACGGACTCTCCAGGTTCATCCGTACAACGAGTTTGCTATAGTACAGGTCCTTTCAGTAGAATCTAGACACATGGGTCTCACAAAATAAAACTAATTGTCAGGCAATGTCCACTACTGACAATTGGTTTTTACCAACAAAACACTCTAATCATCCGGTAAATATTTCAGCTGATGCAAACAGATTCTTTCACTTCTAGATGGAAATACAGGTCCATGTAAGTATCGCTTCCACCACTCCACACAGTCACTCCAAACATCTTAACACACAAAAACTAATGGAGGACCCTTTTCCTTCACCTGGGTGACCTCTCACCCACCGGAAAAAAGATGGTGTTGCCAATCCGCATTACTTTAAATATTCCTCACAGGCTGCCCCTATACAACCCGAAAATAAATAAAAATTATTGTATATAGCCCAAGAAACCTGCAATGGCACAGAACATTATGTTCAAACTAGTAACAAAACTGCCCTAATCCCCCCATTTAATATGTTTATTTTTGAGTTTTTGAATCAAATAACAATAAAATACACACAAAAAAAGTACTTTCAAAATTCCATGAGTATTTTATGACATTAAAAAGAAAACAAAATGAAGAAATTAAACATATAATTGTAGTTTTTGATGTAATGCTGACAGTTTCACAGTTTTAGAATAAAAACTTGTTAGTGTTTATGTGACATAACTTTGTTTTTTTAATGCGCTCTCTAGAGAGGGATTAAACCTCACTTAAACTGGCATGTCTGCATTTCCCGGGATAAACCAGCATTCTGGTTTTTACCATATGGAAATATTTGATTTCATGGTCTCCCTTGAATAGACCTGGCATGCCAGTCAATTCACAAAAATACAGTAATAATTTGCCAAAATATTTTAGAGTTATTGGATCTCATCAAGCTTTTATTTAAGTTCCAAAAGTAAGACTGTGTTTTCTTTTGACATAATAGTTTACTCTTTAAATAATTTTTATACAAAGCATAACATTCATCTGTGTTTAACTCCTCAGTATCTGATTGAAAAATCAGTATCTGAAATATGGATTTAACCTTAGACTGCATAAATCTGGGTCTTCCAGGTCCCTCATAGCTATGAGACATATAATGACAAATTTTATAACCATCAGGGAACTGATTCAATTACTGAAGATGTATGCATGTTTCCATCAGAAAGAATACATACATTTTATATATCAAATTCCAGAAATTAGGGAAACAGTATTTATTATTTAAATCTTCAATATTATAGAAAAGAAGTTTTGTATTATCATCTTTATCCAAATACAAGACTTCATACTGATCATCCTTGTCTTTTATGCTAACATGTTTACCATTATAAATTATATTCCTAAAAAAGATTGTTCTCCATTTATCCAGAAAATTTCACCTTTGTAATTACAAGCAAATATCTTATCATCTATAATTAATCTGTTGTATCACAATTTAAGATTTTTGGCTATTTTTTAACACATTACCATAGAGTCTTAATTTGTTTCTGATAGCTTGGTATTTATCAAATACTCATCATTAATGAATATATTTAAACCTTTTAAATTACTAACATTTTTATATACTTTTAATTTATCTTCAAAATTAAACAACTCACAAGTGACCAGTTTTTTTATTCAGTTTAAATTTTCCAATTCTAGAAGCACACTTAATATTCACATCCATAACATTTAAATTATTGTTAAAAAGTTTTTGAACATTAACTAAACAATCATCAATTTTATCATTATCCTCTAAGCCTGAGATTACAACATTATTCNTTTTTATATACTTTTAATTTATCTTCAAAATTAAACAACTCACAAGTGACCAGTTTTTTTATTCAGTTTAAATTTTCCAATTCTAGAAGCACACTTAATATTCACATCCATAACATTTAAATTATTGTTAAAAAGTTTTTGAACATTAACTAAACAATCATCAATTTTATCATTATCCTCTAAGCCTGAGATTACAACATTATTCCTTCTTTCCATATCTTCTAATCTCTAACTTTTTCTGCAAATTATAATGTTACATCAATTTCTGTATTTGATTTGCCACTTTTAATATAAACTTTTTCTCAAAAAGTTTCAAGATTTGAAAAAGCTTGTAATTTCAACAAAAGTTTAATTCCTTCTTACACATTAATCTCCTTTTCAGCACTTATATAAAACAATATCAACTATTCTGTTGACTCATCTGAGACATTTTTGTTATTTTCTTACATTTTGTGGTGATACATCTTGAGATAATGGTGAAAAACTTTTCTTCTGAGATGGAAACTGACATTCAAGAAGAAAACAAAAATGAGTCAGATCATAAGAGTGAAACATATATATAAGGACCTTGAATAAGTTCTCGCTGTTTTTTGTGAAAATTAACACTTTATTTAAAAAAAGTCGTAATAAACACGTCACTGAAAGTATTGTCCATCACTAGCCACTACTTTCTCCCATCGTTCTGGCAGCATTTGAATTCCATGTCGGAAAAACGACACGTTTTTTGAGGCTATCCAAGAATCAACCCATTTTTTGGCATCTTCATAAGAACGAAAGTGCTGCTCAGCCAGGCCATGTGACATCGATCGGAACAAGTGATAATCGGAAGGGGCGATGTCTGGTGAATATGGCGGGTGGGGTAGGACTTCCCATTTAAGCGTTTCCAAGTACGTTTTCACCGGTTGTGCAACATGTGGCCGAGCATTGTCATGTTGCAAAATCACTTTGTCGTGTCTCTGCTCATATAGCGGCCGTTTTTCCTTCAATGCTTGGCTCAAACGCATCAATTGTAGTCGATAGCGATCTCCCGTGATAGTTTCGTTTGGTTTGAGCAGCTCGTAATAAACTACACCTAGCTGATCCCACCAAATGCAGAGCAGAAGCTTCGAACCATGGATATTCGGCCTTGCTGACGATGTTGATGCATGACCGGGCTTACCCCACGATTTTCTACGCTTAGGGTTATCGTAGTGTATCCATTTTTCGTCACCTGTCACTATACGATGCAGAAAACCTTTCCTTTTCTGCTGTTGAAGCAGCTGTTCATATGTGAAAAGACGCCGTTCGACATCTCTCGGCTTCAACTCGTACGGCACCCAATGTCCTTGTTTTTGAATCATTCCTAATCCTTTTAAACGTTTCGAAACTGTTGTGTGATCAACTCCTAATGATTCTGCAAGTTCAGCTAGCGTCTGACATGAGTCTTCGTGGAGTAATGCCTCTAATTCCTTGTCTTCAAACTTTTTTAGTGCACCAGATCGTTCTTTATCTTCAACATCAAAATCATTATTTTTGAAGCGTCTAAACCAATCTCTGCATGTTGTTTCTGACAGAGCATGGTCGCTGTAAGTCTCAACAAGAATTCTGTGTGCTTCAGCTGCAGATTTTTTTTGAATAAAATAGTGCAATAAAATTCCCCGCAAATACTCTTTTTTTGGCACAAAAGTAGACATGTTTAACATAATGAAAAAATAAGTTGTTTATACTTCGGTGAAATGACGTATACTGAATTTCAAGGTCGCTTATTGTACTTCCTTACAGATGTGTCATCATCTAAAAATAAACACACGTGGTTCTGGTAACGCCATCTGTTGGAAAACAGCGAGAACTTATTCAAGGTCCTTATAATAAGTCTAACAATTTTTGTTATTTAAACATAAATAATTTGTTAATTACATCA